ATAGGCGACTAGTCGACTTGTTTAATTTTTCATTTGTAGGGGAGGGAATAACCCTGCCTTCTGGGTTTGTCATCTAATAATCATTGCATTATTTATTCATATATTCTGAACCATCTTCTAAATGAATCTCTACGTCCACAAACACCCTGTGCTTTGGTGTGTGTGTGTATATATATACATACATATCTAACCAAAACCTATATATATATATATATATATATATTACTGCCTGGTGCTTTCTTTTTCCCCAAAGCCGACAACGAGGTGGCTATACATTGATTCTTATGTAGTAGATATATCATATCCTTGGTTTACTAGATTCAAGGACATGCATGGCGCATGCCATCCGCATTTTGAGATATATATCTATATGCATATGTATGTAATGAAAAAATTCATTACATACAAGAACATAAGTTAGCAATATTTCACATTACTGAAAAAAAAATTTAAAAAAAAAAATGTATGCCAAATTTTATCTTCAAAATAATAAATTGTAATTTTAGGTCGCAAAATTATTAATTTAAGGAGCATAATTTTAATGGCTCCGCTGCTGTTGAAAAATTTGCAAGAACAGAAAGAAAGAAGATTATAAGAAAAAAGAAAAGGAAAAACCCAAAATTGGTAACTGGATATGGGCAAAAATCAAAGAATCATCTAGGGAAGTAATTTTGATAGCGTACATAGTCACAAGAAATATTGCAAATGATTGTGATCAAGATACCCAGTACAAAAACAGTCGGTAAAACAAGTGTCTGAAAACTGATATCTATAAGAAGAGGAATGGGTTGGAATTCTTTGGGACCAACATATTCAAGACAGTCTTTACCTGTGCATTCTCAGTAAGCATCAACAACCGAGATTAAAAACACCCAACAACATTGAATAATTGCATGTACAAGTAATGTAACTGGCAGTGAAATAATCATCCAATTCTTGCACCGATCATTCACAACGCAATAGTATGGCTCAATCCAAAGTTTTGGGCCGAATGGGGATAGTTTTTCTCAAACCAAAAATACCTCCAACAGTTCCCGTGAAAAGGAATTGTAATTCATGGCAAAATCATCTTATATACACCTTCCGATCACCAACATTATGATATAATATGTTCAAACACTTGAAAAAAAGAATATTGGCCAAACTTTGTACCCAAGCTCTATATTGTTAACACAAAAGGATACATAATAGCTACAACAACCAGAATGAGCAGGATATTTCAAGTCTCACGTCAAGCCTCAACATCTGAACGTGTTGGAAAATCAAGGCCATGGAGTGCTGGAGTGTTCTGTAAATCTTCTTCTGAAAACAACGGGAAGAACCATAGTACCTTCTTTTTGCCAAAAACCTTCAACAAGACAAAATAAAAGTTATAGGGATGGTAAAAGAATTAAGCAATGAAACCATTTGAGTTTATCTAAAAGGAATAGGAAGAGTCTGTTTAACATCAGATTAAAATAGAAAAATCACTTTATCCGGTGAATTGGTCTCAGTTGCTAAACTAATTTCAGAAATCGACAGATCAGCAGACAAAATTGATCTCAGATTCAGTAAGAAACAACATTTCTGTGCATTACATTTTCACAATGATCACATGTTCTATGGAAAAAAGAAATCTTGCACCCATCAGGAAGATGATCAGGAATATGATTTTACCTTCCTTTGCAATCAAAAAACAGAACATCCCAAGCACTTCATATATATGCCATTGGTGCAAATACCAGATACTTTATATAAGGTAGAGAAAAACCTAACCATACTTGCCTGAAGCTTAAGTTCAAATAATCACTCAACTCTCAGATAGAGGTCAAGAAACTGAATAAGAGAGTGAAAAAAAAAGTCAGGTAGCACACACGGTGGGTACCTGTTCAAAATTCTTCTTCCGGCCCAAGTCATACTTCCACCTTACTGTTCCTTTCTTCTCGTATACCTGAAATATTATTCCCAGAAGGTAATATACAAATGATGAGGGATGACCCAACCTAGAAAATGTTTGTAGATTGTTCAATGCTCCCGTAGAAGATGATTAACCTTCACAATGATCAACTTATTTGTAGGGTGTTCTCATAAGGTTTATATGTGATTGGAATCACAAATGGCCATTACATGTGATTCAGCTGTCACAACTTAACATTCTGAGTTTCATGTCCACTCTAAGCAGCAGGAAGATGCGAGACCAGGAGGAACTTCCCCCAGAAAGCAATAGTAAATATGTCCAGAAATAGGCACAAAGGAAAAGCTAGTCATTACCTCTATTGAAGTGGTATTGCTCGAAAGAAGAGAAGCATGCAAGACAATGAAACAAAGAAGACTCAGCGCAAAAGCTAAATTGAGAACTGCATCAAGGTATACAATCTGTAAGAAACATGAAAACAATGAGAATGAAGATCTATTTCTGATGATATTGCAAAACCAACAAGAAAGGCAACTTACCAAAAGCCAAGAAAGTGACTGCTAAGTTGCCTGGAGATCCAGAATGATTCTTGGCATGGCCAAAGAACTTGATAAAGCCAGGCAGCAAGACAAGGGTATCCAGTGTTGTCTCCAAAAATGTATAAATCTTTTAAGGGCAGAAAATGAATGTGATGAAACAAGTGGCAAAATAACATATCAAATTGTACAAATTTAGATAAAATACTTCCATTAGATATTACAACTAACTCGTATATATATAAGAATTCTTAACTACAAATAGAGAAATTTCTCTTATAATAAAGATTTTAAATAATTACATCATTATATAAAAAAAAACAGTAGGACTATATAAGAAAAAATATTATGATCATTTAAACAACAAAATATTTGTATCAATATCCTCTCTTAAGTTAGTGCAAAAATATCATGCATGTTCAACTTGCATATCAAGTTCTGAAGAATTTTGTTGCAGAATTCTTTAATGAAAATATTTGCCACCTGATTGCTAGAAGACATATGATGTAAGCATAAGGAGCCATCAACCACTTTCTTTTATAAAGTAACGGTCAATTTCAATGTGTTTTATCCGATTATGTTGAACTGGATTTTGAGTAATATTAATAGTTACTTTATTGTCACAAAATAATGATAGATTTTCT